AGATCAAGTTGGTTAGTGGCATTCAAATATCTATTCTTACTGATATTTTTGCCTACTTTTTCTTCATATTACTGAAGAGAAGTGTTAACATATCCAACTATGTATTTTCTTCATGTATTTTGAAGCTATGTTATTGGGTGCATAGTGGTGTAAGATTGCTATGTCCTCCTGATAAATTCATGTTTTTCTTTATCTCTGGTTGTATTCCTTGTCTTGAAATCTCTTGTTCAATAATAACATAGACATCCTAGCTTTATTATGCTTAGTGTTTCTATGGCATATCATTTTTCATTCTTTTACTTTCAACCTATCTATGCCCTTATCTTTAAAGAGTGTCCTCTGTAAATGGCATATGGGTGTATTTTATTATTATTTGAATTTTAATAGTGTGGCAATCTCTGTCTTTTGATGAGAGTGCTTTGCCCATTTACATCTAAGACAATCACTGATACGTTTTGGTTTAAGTTTTTTATTTTATAACTTTTCTATTTCTCACGTCTGCTTTTTGTTTCCTGTTTTTCTTTTCCTGACTTGTTTTGCACTCATTTTTTTTTTTTAGTATTCTATTTTATTTCTGTTTTTGGCTTTTGCCATACCTGTTGGTATAATTTTTTTAAAGCAGTTGCCCTAAAGTTACAATAAGCATCATTTTGGTGAGTAATCAACTACCTCAACACTTAGTGGCTTAAAACAACATGCATTTATTTACTTATACTAATTTTTGAGTCATATCAGGTGTGGTTGTGATGCCAGTGGGCTGCTAGGCTTTTTCCGGTATTTCTCTACACTGTATTGCAGTGCATTGTGTTGCAGGATTGAGTAAGGCATCTGTGCTGGTAGCACTTGCTTTGATTGAATGTGGAATGAAGTACAAAGATGCAGTTCAGTTTATAAGACAAAAAAGAAGGGGAACATTCAATTCCAAAAAACTGCTTTACCTGGAGAAATACGGACCTAAGGTGCAATTATACTTCAAAGATACCAATGGGCATTGTGTGTTCAGTAGAAAGAAATGTATATGAAAGCTGACTTGTTCGTGGTATTTAGAGGGAACTCTTGGTACCTGAAAATGTGAATCTGGAAGCCTAACTGTGTCATCAAAGTAGTGATGGATTCAGTGCTCCTCAACCACTCTCCTAGTGATTGAAAAAAAGCAAACAAAAAAGAAATCCCTCTATAATATGAATAAAATGTTTAAGAAAAGAAAAAGAAAAAAAAAACCTTCTCAGTTCTGGGCAAGGGGCAGTAATCCAACTGGCATTATAAGTTGGCATACCACAGTTCAAAAGTTGGACTTCTTTTTTTCATCATCTCAGCACTAATCATGAAAAAGTTAAGACATTTTTAGTTTATTTTTATTTTGTATTTTTTAAAATTTTTATTGGGATATAGTTGATTTACAATTTTTTATTAGTTTCAGGTGTACAGCAAAGTGAATCAGTTATACATATACATATATCCACTCTTTTTTAGAGTCTTTCCCGTATAGGCCATTACAGAGTATTGAGTAGAGTTCCCTGTGCTATATAGTAGGTCCTTATTAGTTATCTATTTTATACATAGTAGTGTGTATGTGTCAAAAGATATTTTTTAAAGCATAATAATTTATAGTTCCTGTTTTTTTTTGGCGGTACGCAGGCCTCTCACTGCTGTGGCCTCTCCCGTTGCGGAGCACAGGCTCCGGACGCGCAGGCTCAGCAGCCATGGCTCACGGGCCCAGCCGCTCCGCGGCATGTGGGATCTTCCCGGACCGGGGCACGAACCCGTGTACCCTGCATTGGCAGGTGGACTCTCACCACTGCACCACCAGGGAAGCCCTAGTCCCTGGTTTTTATTCTGTGTTTTGACCAATACTTTAGGAAATCTCATGCCACTGAATTTCTTTAAACTATCCAGCGGCTATAGAAGCAACCACCCACAACGCAGTCTTGAATTACTCATGACTTACGTATCACTCACCATGTTAGAGAGAGATTATAGTTCCCACAGCTTTGCCTTTACCAGAGATCACATTTCAGGAGGCCACTGTTCATACTCTATTGGTTGTTTCATTATTGTGAGCTATGGGATGCAAGAGTACCAGTCTGCATCCTATTTCATAACACTAGATATATTCTCACTGTTTCAGTCTCATTCAGGCAAGATAGCCAATCCTGTGATGACTAATTTTATTTTTCAATTTGACTGGGCCATGGGGTATTCAGATACTTGTTAAATATTATTCCGGGTGTGTCTGGGTGAGAGTGTTTCTGGATAAGATAACATGTGAATTGGTAGATGAGTGAAACAGATTGCCCTCCTCGGTGTGGGTGGGCCTCATCCAATCTGTTGAAGGCCTAAATAAAACAAAAGTCTCAGTGAGGGAGAATTTGCTCTCTCTGCCTGACTGTTTTCGAGGTTTTCTCCTGTCTTCAGATTTGGATTCAAACTGGAATGTACACCATTGGCCCTCTGGGTCTCCAGCATGCTGACTGCAGATCATGAGATTTCTCAGCCCCCATAATTATATGAGCCAATTTTTTACAATAAATCTCTGTCTCTCTGTCTGTCTGTCTCTGTCTGTCTGTCTGTCTCTCTCTCTCTATATTTTTATATGCATACAATATCTATATTTAATATATCTATATCTAATATACCTTGATTTCTTCAATTTCTCTGATAGTTTATTGCCTGCAACAATCTTAGGGGTGGGGAATCAAGGCTCCTCTTTTGTGTGTGATATGTTTGAAAAATCTATTAGCCAACTGGGATTAGGCCTTTCTCTTCCTCTCTCATCCTTCCTCCTCTTTACACATGGGCTTCTTTCTTCTCTCTCTCCTACTCCTCCTGTTAATATGGCTGGAGTTATGGCTTCCTACAAAATATTTTTGGCTTCAGTTAGAGTATTTTAGGGTACTTCTCATTTTATGAGTATAGTTCCCAGAGGACTCTGATTAACTGAGTTTTGTTGAGAAGCCCATGTGCGTTCCAACGAAATTGGACCAGGTAGAATGTGCTATTTTGTACAAAACAACTACTCTTGCAGTAACCATATGAAGGAGGGGACCATTTTTCCAAGTATGAGAGGGGTGATTTGTAGAAAATAATCTGAACAATGAAAAAGTAATCTAATTATTCAGGATTTTGTAGGATGCTGGTAGTTGCAACGGAGGCAGGAGATAGATAAGCCTTCAGGGCAAACAGTTTGAGTTCATTCCCTGTGGACCGATACTCCTACTCCGAGACAGGAATAACAGGACAATTGAGAGAGGAGGCTGGTCCCCGCCCAGATAGAAGATAAGAGACCACATATTCCTTATTCTTGAAGTCAGGAGACCTTCCTGACTACACAAGCGCAGAAAGGTTCCTTGGAGGTCAAAAGGGGAGTGATGCCAGCTACCCATAGGCCTCTTTGGTAGAATCCATCTTGGCTAAGAGATGCCTGTGCCCACATGGGAAAATCCTGAGCTACACCAAATATGGACTCTGAACCAGGCAAATCAAAATGATTGGTCAAAGGAAACACGGAAGTAATGCCCCATAAAAGTGACTCAAACTGCCCACGAGGTGCGACTCTATCTCTGAGCCTGCCTGTGTTATCTATCCACATGTACTGTACTTAAATACTTTACTTGTCTCACTACTTTCCGTCTTAGTGGGAATTCTTTTTCTGCAAAGCTGTAGGGCCAGGGCCTTGTCACCGACCACTGGTCTAGTGGCTAGGATTCGGTGCTCTCACTGCCGTGACCTGACCTCAATCACTGGCTGGGAACCGAAACCCTGTTTCAAGTCGCTGCGGGCCAAGGTCACCTGAGATCACAACGACAGATAATCCCTGTTGCAGAGTCAATATTGCTTAGCAAATATTCCATTTGCTCTTTCACTTTTAATGGTCCCCATCTAGTGAGGCAGGACTGTGTGACTAGTTCTAACCAGTGGGCTGAAGCATACTGTCCATGTACAATTCTGTAGTCTTTTATCCCCTGCTCTTGTGACTAGGAGTTTTCATGTTCTAGATGGTGCAACTACAAAGTGGTGGAGCCACTTTAAGCCTGGGTCTCTGAATGACTACATGGAGCAGAGCCCCCTGCCAATTTGCACAAGAAAAGAATTGTTAACTAGAATAAAACCTTTGCATTGGAGCTGACGATTGCCACAGCAAACCCAGCCTATTCTGACTATAATCCAAACCACCAAATTGATTTTCATCATCTTCTTTAATCCTTACAACAAGTCTTTCAAATAGGAAATAGTAATTTTTTTTTGATTTGAGGAAACTGATATTCTAAGATGATAAGGTTTTACCTTAGAAGGTAATACCGTATATGAATGTTGGCTATAGATCTCTCATTGCTGACTTTGCAGACCCCAAGAATGAGTTTATTGAGAGCAGTAATTGTTGTGAGTCAGCCACTGATTTTAGGAGGAGAAACCAAGGAATTGGAGATCCAGGATGTAGAGAATTGCCACTCGAAAGGTAGATATTAGCATCCCGGAGATATTAGGAACCACTTGGGAAGACGTAAGTGGAAGAGTAGCTAAAAGGAAGCACCTCTCCCTCTACAACTCTAATCTGTACCAATTGGAAATTCCACTGGGTTCACAGTTCTTTTCATTACCTTCCTCATAATGAGTTGGCAGGTTATCCATACCATAAGAACACCCCTTATTCTTTCATTAGTATGATTCCCAGCTATGATCTTCCATAAAGAGTAAAAGTCAATATTAATGAGCACAGAGACAAAAAGGATAAAAAAGGAGAAACTGGAAAACTCAAGCATGGTTGAGTTGGGGAATGGGAGGTTGGATATGGTGGCTGGTTTACTATGATTATGCTATCTTTTGGCTCTGTGATATCAGAGAGTAGCACTCTGGCCCTGAGAGTTTGGCGGATGGACTAAAGAGGAGGAGGGGAAGAAAAGAGAGGCAGAGGGAGCCATCCAAAAAATGTCACCAAACAGTTTTCCTTGCAGAGCTGGTAGCTCTTGCTCACTTCTCAGGTGACAGCGAAAGGCACCTACCGTTCATTCTGGAGGGCAAGCACCATATGGTATTGATGCTTATCAGAGCCTGACGATCTGGGGAGAATATGGGTCAGGATGAAGGACGCTCATCTAAGCTACCTCCCTCAGGAACTGGATTTTACAGATGACTTTTCTTATTGCAGCTTTTACGTCTTTGTTCCTCAAACTGTAGATCAAAAAGTTCAGCATGGGGATGACCACAGTGTAAAAGACAGACACAGTCTTGTCCTTCTCTGGGGATTTGTCTGAGTTACTTCTCTGGTACATGAAGGCAAGTGTCCCGAAGAAGAGAACAACAGAGGTGCAGGTGGAGAAGGTCTTGGCTCTCCCACCAGCAGACTTCACTCTCAGGATTGTTCTGATGATGAGCATGTAGGAGACCAGAGTGATCACGACATTGGCCAGGAACATGAGTTTGGCAAAAAAGAGGATGACAATCTCACTTTGTGTCACGTTGCTGCAGGCAAGCTTCAGCAGTGGTGGGAGATCGCAGAAGAAGAAGTTGATCTGACTGTCATCACAGGAGGAGAGGATAAAGATGCACATGGTATGCAGGATGGCCCCCGATACCCCACAGACATAGGCCCGGCCAAAAAGCCCCTACAGATGCCCCGAGTAATTGCTACGTTATAGAGCAATGGGTTGCTAATGGCAACAAAGCGGTCATAGGCCATTACTGCCAGCAGGTAACACTCTGTGCCTGCACAGATGGTGAAGAAAAAGAACGGAGCCACAGGAGATGACCGTTTTGCTCGTGGTCAGTGTGGCTGGGACCTGAAGGGTGATGACCGAGGTAGAGCAGGCATCTGGCAGGGCAAGATGGCTCGGGCAGAAGTACACTGGGGTGTGGAGTTGAGTGTCCATTTGGATTAAAATAAACATTCCCACATTTCCCAGATGGGTGACTAGATAGAAGATGAGAAACATCAGGAAGAGTGGAACGGCCGGTTCAGGGTGATATGTGAAACCCACACGAATGAACTCTGTCACAGTGGTGAGATTTCTTTTGGCCGTTGGCTCCACATGGCTGGGTGGCCTGAGGAGAAAGGAAGTAGAGATTCCAGAGCTGAAGGCCTTTGTCTTCTTCAGTGTCAGACCTTAGGTGAAAACCTCAGATATTTTTCTGCTCAGAGAGAGAAGAGAATGTTATCACTTTAAGAATCTACAACTGGCAGTGACTATGGAGAGAGTTTGCCTATCTCTGCATCCCTCCTGAAAATGGACCTTGGGGAGGTATTTCTTCAGGTTCACTTGCTTATTGTCTGTGACTTTCTTTCAGAACAGAGAACTGTAGACTATCAAGACTGGAAGGGACCAATCTGGAGTCTCTCTCTTCTAGAATATTCCCAACAAATTGTCATGTAGCCCAGGTGTACACCAGGGCTGACACATATGGATTCTAAGGCTGTGTCCTGTTACCTCCCGGCAGGGCCATTTGTATAGACTGTGATGTGAATGATGCCTCCAGAGTGGTCAGATGCAGAATCCTGTGTTACGTGATGGGGTCTTTCTGGGCACTCTGCCTTTGGAACATTCTCCCTGTTGGGAAAGCCACAGTGCTCTTTCTGCATCTTCTTTTTTATTTTTATTTTTTTTACATCTTTTTTGGAGTATAATTGCTTTACAATGGTGTGTTAGTTTCTGCTTTATAGCAAAGTGAATCAGTTACACATATACATATGTTCCCATATCTCTTCCCTCTTGCGTCCCCCTCCCCCCGCACCCTCCCTATCCCACCCCTCTAGGTGGTCACAAAGCATCGAGCTGATCTCCTTGTGCTATGCGGCTGCTTCCCACTAGCTATCTACCTTACGTTTGGTAGTGTATATATGTCCATGCCTCTCTCTCGCTTTGTCACGGCTTACCCCTCCCCCTCCCCATATCCTCAAGTCCATTCTCTAGTAGGTCTGTGTCTTTATTCCTGTCTTACCCCTAGGTTCTTCATGACATTTTTTTTTTCTTTCTGTATCTTCTACACATTAGTATTATGCTCGATTCTGCACATTGAGTAAAATCCCTCTCTCCCAAGACAGTTATTATACCTACTTGTATCTAGTCTCCTATTCTGCAAGTCAAACATTTCCAGTCATTTCAGCAACTCCTGGTGAGCCCTTTCACAATCCATTTCTGCTCTCCTGTGAACAAGGTTATCGTCTGTCTTGGATCTCTTTCTTGAGGGTCCTTGAGAGAAAGTGATTCTGTGAAAACCATTAGATTTATGGAGCCCTTATTCTGTGTTGGACATTTCCACATTAATTGGCTGATTTCTGTCAATAATCCTGAAATAGCCGTTATGAATGTCATGCTTGAAATGTGTAAGCTGAGGGTGAGGAACTTAAAGTGGCTTTTGTCAAAGAATAAATTGCAAGTGCAGAAGCCAGGATTTAAGCTATGGTGTCACAACCCTAGGGCACTGCTTGTTTCATTAATTTTTAGCCTTTGTAGTCTAGAAGTAGCTCACAGAGAGGGGGTTCATAGAATTTGGTAGAACCAGTTTCCTGTAGAAATCAGGTTGATTCTTCACTTTCTGGTGGTGGAATGAGTTCTTTTGTAGCTGTTGATGGCTCTGGGCTCTGTTCTCCAGGACGATGCCTCTAGGGGTTGAGGGTGGAGGCTGCTCCATCAGGGATTCTGAGATTCATGGGGAGGCTGGTTGGAGTCAGGGTTAAAGACTTGTTTGTGAACTATGGGGTTCTCACTAGCCATAGAACTTCCACAGAACATTTCAGTTTTGATCCTGAGAATTCCATGGCTCATAGGCAAAATCAAAGTCCTGGTGTTTCAGACACAGAATACCAGGTCCACCAAGTTTCTAACAATTAACTTATCAAAGTAAGGTATGGAAACGGATGCCTATCAAACGTACTGATTAGCGGTAGCTTGAGTATGGACCACCCTGGTTTATTCCATTGCTCCCATCTTCTTTGATCTTAAACATCTTTCTTCCAGAACTGCTGTTACTGTGATATTTCTGTGCTCCAACCACCTGCTTCTTTCTGTCCCTCTGTTAAATGTTTCCCATCATTTTTCTCTTCTCTGCTTCCTCATAACTTTGACTTATACATAGTTGTGGCTATTCACCCCATGGAAGTTCATCATCTTTACCTCTATTGAAAAACTGAAAAATTATTTCAGTTTTTTTTTAGTTCAAATACTTTAAAAAGGGAATTTGATTTATCCAGCTGCCTTTTTGAGAGCCAGTCCAAAAGTTAAAAAGTTGAAATTATATAGCCAGCCTACATATTAACTGTCTGCTGTGTCCAAAGGGTCAGTTATGTGATACAAAACATAGCTTCAAGCCTTCAGGTGGGTTGTGGAAAGCACCGGCACTGTGACATCTCTTTGAGACCCGAGTCTCGAAAACTCAGTTTGGAACCTACTGGTATAGGCATCCTGAATTTGCACTCACATCTATTATTCTGTTCCATGGCTCAATACATCCTTCTTTCAAAGCAGAATTCTTTATCCTTATTTAGCCACAGAATCTTCTCTTCCTTCTTTCCACAGAGATGGAAATTTAGAGACATGGAACCCATGCTTTAGGACACACTTAACTAGATGTCCTCTAACAATTTTTTTGCTATGCTTATATCTGAAGCTCAAGATTATAAATATAAGTTTCTTTGAAGCTTTTAAAAGATTACTCTGAATATTTCAATATTTGGACTAGATAGCCAGCACATTCAGATTGCTAAACAATCATATGCTTTAGAGACTTATAGCAACATCCCACTGCTTAGTAGGATTTGGACTGGCCAATCCCACCATCTTTTTTCAGAACAGTCATGACCTTTCAGTCCAGCCCTTGGACATGTTCCACAACATTTGCATAACTTGGTTCACATGGCCTGAGAATAGACACCATCATGCCCTCGTTGACCTAAAAAGAAATATTCATCTGGCAGCTTTCTTCTGCATGGTGGTAGCTAACACGTGTACCTATTCAAAACATTGTCTCAGTGGGTAAACCTCACAATGAGAACATTCCTTGGAACTGTGAGTCATTAGCTGTTGTCTGGTAGTTTCTGTGTCCATGTCTGTCCAATGTCTGACATTATGTTAGAAGAGCATCTGGGTGACTGGTTTCTCTTTCTCTCCAGGATTTGGGGGTCACTGTGCACATGACCCTCAGGATGGGCTCATATGCTCTTCTCCACACTGGTTGGAAATACCTATGACCCTCACACAGAACCCTGGAGTCGGAAAGGACCCCGTGGGGCAGTTCTGTGATTTTCCTGCTCTGCTTGTCAGAGACCTCAGCCTTTGTGGAGATGCCTCAAGGGACACAGCAGTGGGAAGTAAACGGGAGGCTGAGCAGGTGGGGAGCTGCCAACTCAGCCCCAGCTTCAAACAAAGCAGAGCTTCTTTTAACACTGGTAAACAAACAGGTGTTTCATTTCATTTTGTTTGAAAAGGGCGTTCCAGTGTTAAAAAAAGATTAACATCTGGTCCAACATGTTCTTTTCATTTAGCAGAAGAGAATATTGAACCTCGGAGAAGTTAACTTTTACCTGATGTGTCAGAAAACATTCCCTCCCAAATTTATCTTGATGGGTCCTCAATACGAGCATCTTATCTGGTGCCTCGGGAGAGGCCATGGAGTTGGGAAAGAACAAAGCAGTCCAGGATGGAGCCACAAGGATGGGAGGATTGCTACGACATAGTCAGGACACTCAGAGGCCAGGTCACCGAGGTTTCCATCTCGTCACCTTCCTCACTGCACATCCCCTCCTGTAACATCCATTTCTACATTATCTTTTCAAAAGCTTCTTTCAAGGGTCTTTCTCTCTGACCTCACCAGCTGAGACAACCTCCTCAGAGGGATGGGACTCATCCTTGGTACATGCTCTGAATACCTAGTTATTCAACCATGTGGGTGACAAGGGGAGTAATAATATCTCGATGCCAATTACTGTTCCCTGCACTTGACATATATGTTCCTAACTGCTGCAACCATCAGTAAGTACGTAGGTCTATGCTTGTTTCACAGAAGACAGAATTAAAGCCTTGGGAAAATAACCTGTGCAAAAGGTCACACAGATAAAATTTAAAATTTTTCTAACTTTTGGAAAGCACACTTAATAGTCTCTGGAAAATATATGATCTCCCAACATAGTTACAAAATTTACATTACCTCATAGGGAAAGAACTGGTCCTTTTGTTCCCGCGAGGGACTTCTATGAAGCACTGATGATATTTTTGTTTTCTGAGCAGATCCAAGGAGATTGCTGCTGTGGCGCTCTGAAAGCCATAGTAAATGCAATTACCTAATCTTCCTTGGGCTGATTTTGCCGATATGCGGAAACCCACTTTTGAATAAACTCGCAGCAGGTAGCAAGACCAGGCTGTGCACTCAGTTTTATCCAGAGTTCCTGGGCAACATTCAAAGCTTGCAACCTCTAGGTTCTCCAGGTGTCTAACTGTTTCGCCTTCCTGCCCAATTCAGATTGCCTTGTTTCTGAATCGTTGAGTTTTCTGATCCAATTGAATCCTTTGGTGTTTTTAACATCTTACAGCTGTCACCTAAGATGATGCTTCTGGTATGAAGATGGTAATGCTAAATGAAAGGGGGACTCTTTTTTCTCTATGATTCACTGTGATAATTCACCTGCCTGCAGTGGGGGTTACGTGAGTCCAGACTTGCCTGCAAATCGCAAAATGAGTGGGACAGGGCTTTATGTTTCTGGGAGAAGTCTTCTGCCATCAATTAGAGCTGACTCAGGGCTCTCAGTAGGTAAGAAAACAATGGGTCTGGGGATTAAAAAGCTCAGGAGGGTAAGTGGTAGATCCTAAATGACATAATTTCCCATGTTCCTCTCTGTGCTCATCAGGGACTGAACATCCTCACTTCCATGCCACTTCCTCCAGGGCTGGAAAGAAACGGAGAGACAATCCAGACCTACTTTGATACATTACAGGTGAAGGTACAGACCTGGGGGTGGTGGTGCATGTCTTATCCGAGGTCACATAGCTTCTCAGCTGCCAGCTGGAGGGCTGATCAGAAATGATGGTGGAGGATGGCTATGGTCAGGGCGAGGAGACTAGGACCGTGAAACCACAGTCTCACCCATTAGTCTGGTCTGCTCAAGGATTCTGCTTCCTTCCAGACCCAGTTCAAGTCTTACCACTTCTGGGAAAGCTGACTAAACCCAATATAGATGTTCCCGGTCCTCAGTGAACTGTACCTGGACTTGCTTTCCATTCTATATTGAGGCAGAGTCTGGAGTATCAGGTCTTCTTTAGTTTAAACATCCGCCTCACAAAATGTTCTGTGGGAGAAGGGTTCAGTCCTTTAGCCTATTTATTTTTTTTTAAAAAATTTTTATTTTATATTGGAGTATAGTTAATTTACAATGTTGTGTTAGTTTCAGGTATACAGCAAAGTGATTCAGTTATACATATATCCACTCTTTTTCAGATTCTTTTCCCATATGGGTTGTTATAAAATATTGAGTAGAGTTCCATGTGCTATACAGTAAGTCCTTATTAATTATTTATTTTATATATAATAGTGTGTATATGTTAATCCCAAACTCCTAATTTATCCATCCCCCCACCTTTCCCCTGTGCTAACCATAAGTTTGTTTTCTATGTCTGTGAGTCTCTTTCTGTTTTGTAAATAAGTTCATTTGTACCATTTTTTAAGATTCCAGATATAAGTGATATCATATGGTATTTTTCTTTCTCTGTCTGACTTACTTCACTTAGTATGATGATCTCTAGGTCCACCCGTGTTGCTGCAGATGGCGTTATTTCATTCCTTTTTATCAGCCTATTTAATTTTGAGATAAAGGAAGATCACTTTAATGGTGTTAAATCAGTAACAGCAACAGAGCTGGGAAAAGTCATAACTGAGAAGGGGCCTCCTAGGGCCCCTTGATTCCCATTCTGTTGTTGCCAAGGAAAGTGGGGAGACACATCATCTGTCTGTGTATCACTGAATCGTATGTCTTAGTTTGGCTTATTTTTGATCTCTCTCTCTTTGTATATATATTTGTTTTCTAGTTGTTTCTAGTTGGTTGTTTTCTTGAATAAGATAAACATTAATTCTTTTTGCACATAAAAGAAGCCTGGAGATAGGCAGCCCATGGCTGGTATGGTGGATTAAAAATGTCATCAGGGGCTTAGGCCCTTTCTGCTCTGCTGTTTTCTATGCGTGGCTTGTAGCTTCAAGGTCACCTTGGTAGCTGAATGGCAGCCAGGGCCCCAGCCATCACATCCACACTCCAGATCAGAAGAATAAAAACCTAGAGGCAAGTGTTTTGAGTTTTGTGCTATTATAACAATGCTTTATGAACATTCTTGCACCTGCACCCTGGTAGGCACGGGCAAGAGTTTCACCATCGTGCATACTTAGGTCACTGAAATAGCTGAGTCACTGGTTATGTGTATCTTTGATTTTTAAAGGATAATGCCAAACTGTTTAACAAAATTGTTAGACTAATTTATACTACCCATTTTCCATATCCTTGTCAATATAGTGGCGTCATACTCTTTAATTTTTGCTAATCTAACGAGCATACTGTGGTTTCAATTGGCATTTTCCTGATTACTAACGAGAAGAAGCATCTCTTCATAGGTTTATTGGCTACTTGGAAATAGTCTCTTTTGTGAATTACCTGTTTGAGCCATCTTCTCTTAGTGATTATTAAGTACACACACGGGCACGTGCGCGCGCACACACACTCACACAATATAATAGTCCTTGTTGATTGTGTGTCTTAAAAAGATTTTTTCCTATTCTGTGTTTTGACCTTTCATCTTCTTAATCATGTGTTTTAATGAACAGAACCTCTTTAATGGATACTGACACATTTAGGGATAAATTTATGATTAATGCTTTCTTTTTACATATATGAAATTCTTCCACATAATGAGGTTATGAGAACATTCTCCTCTATTATTTTATAAGACTTTTATTAACTTCCCTTTCATATTTAGTTCTTTAGTCCACTGTGAATTCATTTTTGTGTGTGGTGAGAGGTAGAGGTCTGTATCAGTTAGGGTACTTACAAGTAACGGATAGCACATTCACCTTGGGTAATGTCTAGTAAAGTCACTATTTAAAAAAGGTGTGGACAAGATTTAAGAAAACCAAGATGGGATGATGCGGTACCTCACAGCTAGTAACAGAGGGAAACCATTACCAGTCTTACTAGTCGTCATTCATATTGTGGCTTTTTGACATTCAACCGGCGACTTCCAACATCACTGTGTTAAATTGCCTCAAGCCAGCAGAATGGGAAGGAGCATGGCTTGTTGGAAATGGTCTACACCATTTATTCAAACATTCCATTGGCTAAACTCTCAGCTACATGTCCATACTTAGCTGCAAAGGAGGCTGGTTAAAAGTCTAGTTTTTTAACCAGTCCTAGCTGAATGACATGAATCATTTGGGGTCAGAGGGCAAACTGTGGTAGGCAGCCCCTTAGATGGCCCCTGATGATTCCTGCCCTCTGGTATTCACGTCTTTGAGTAATTTCCCTCTCTTGGGAATGGCCTGGATTTAGTGACTCACCTTTAGTAGATAAGATGTGGTGGGATGTTACTTTTGAGATTAAGTTTCAAGAAGACTGTGGCGGGCAATTATTTCTGAGGAAAGTCATCTGTCATGTTGTGAGCTGCCTCACGGGGAGGTCCACGTAGCAAGGAACTGACATATTTGGCTACCAGTGGGGAAGGATCCAAGTCTTCCCAAATCCATGCCTTAATTAACTTTCAGCCCTTGCCAACATGTTAATTACAGCTTTGTGAGAGACCCTGAGCCAAAGACATCCAACTAGCCTGTGCCTGGATTCCTGCCCCTACAGAAGCTGCAATAGGAAAGGTTTGCTGCTTTAAGCTGCAAAGTGGACAACAATAGACAACAATAGACAGTGACATGCAGTAGGGGAACTGTTGTTCTATAGCCTCACGGGGAGATGCTATCGATGGCAAACAGAGCTTCAATACTCTGCTTACGTCTTGGGGTTCTTTTTTTCCCTTGGCTGTTTAGCGTTTGATTTCTTAGTATCTTTTCACCTTTTTATTTTATCTTTTTACATGTTTTTAAGGAGCCAGCTTGGTCAGAAAATCCTAGTCCACCGTATTGCCAGAAATAGAAGTCCTGTTCATTTAAATCTTTCTGCTTTCCAATAGATCTTTCTTGAGCACCTACTGTGATTCAGGAGGTGCACTAAAAACAGCAGTTCTTGCCTCCATGGAACTTACATTTTACTGGGGGTGGGGATAAAATACAAACATGCAGTTAGATATCAGGCATTGTTGTGTCTTGAAGAATAAAATAGCAGGGTAGGGGGATAGACAGTGACATGCAGTAGGGGAGCAGTTGTTCTAGATATGGTGGTCAAGAAAGGTTTCTCCCAAATGAGGCAACATTTCTGCAGAGACCTGGATAAAGTAAATGAATGGGTCTTGTAGGTTGATAATGGGTGGTGGGGGGGGGGCGAGGAGAATGCTTGTGTAGATAGTTTCTCCTTTGTAGGTCTGCAGAGGATGCTGGGAAGCAGGCATGGATCTCTCATTCCTTTTAGTTCAGAGGAGTTGAATGTAGGGGACTCGGACACCGCTTGGTGGATTGTGGATCTGAGAATCATTGTTGCTCTCAGTCTCTCAGACATCAATAGAGCTGTCTTATCTGGGACAAGCCCCATAGCTGATGCTGACTTAAATGCCCAGGTCCTATCTTAGCCATCACAGAGAATAGGGTCCGTGTAGGCTCTGAATAAATTTTTATTGAATAACCATTACATGCAATCTCTTCCAGCTTCTATTCATCCAGCTGCTTAGCCCAGAACTGGCAAGTGTATAGGGATTTAGGCTGAGTAAAGTTCTCTCCTTGTTCAAAGAGGTTAATAGGTCTTTTATTTTAGTTTAAATAGGTTAAATAGGTCTTTTATTTTATTTATTTTGTCTTCTCTTACCTATGACCTTTGAATGTCCCTTCACATGACTCCCAAGTTCCTAAGCAGGAAAACCATCTTTTATGATTCCTGGAGAAAGAGCCTAATGAATAAGGCTATTTTTTTGTTGTTTTTGGGAGAAATTTATTTATTTATTTATAATTTAATTTTTATTTTATATTGAAGTATAGTTGATTCACAATGTTGTTTTAGTTTCAGGTGTACCGCAAAATGATTCAGGGGCCATTTTGCCTTAAGTCACTCTGTACCAGAGAAGGGACAATTGTTTATAAAATGGTGTTCAAAGGTGATATAAGAGAGTAGATAAGACTAGAGTTTCTGGAACCTGAGTCCCTGAGCTCAAATCAAGAGGCTTGCTTCCGTGACCCTGGACAACTTAACTTCTCTATGTCTTATTTTCCCCATCCCTACGAGGGGATAATAATTGCACCTACACCATAGGGTTGCTAAGGCATCATAGAGTTGTTAAATACATCTGAAAGTTTTTAGAATAGTGTCTGACATATAATAGGTGCTCTGTTACTCTTAGCTGTATTAATAATAATAATAATAATATTTTATTAGGAGCTAGGACAATGAGTTATTAGGTTCTTTAGGTTGTAAAAGAGACCATTCAGATTATCTAGTAGAATATGGGTCTATGGTTAAGACTTTTATGCTCCAAAAAGGAGACAGGGATTGCTTGGGGGGACCTATTGGGAGTGCTGGAACCCAGTCTGGAACATAACTCAAGATTTGGAAAGATCTAGTGTAGCACCAGGGACTGGTTTATATGGTTGCCTCCTCAGCATCTGACATTTGCTCATTTCCTCTCTGGTCTGTCCGTAAACATGACTCAGCCATTCTCTCCATAGCTTATCATCATTTGTGAGTCTCATTTCTCAGCTAACTTAGTCTTTTCCCATATTTTTCAGTTTAAATCCCCAAGGGGGAGATACTTTTTTTTTAAAAAAAAATAATTAATTAATTTTTGGCTGCATTGGGTCCTCGTTGCTGCGCATGGACTTTCTTTTTAGTTGTGGCGAGT